GGGCACCATCAACTTTCTTCACCACTTTTGCTTATGCACCCTCTTTGTCCTCAGCGATTGAGTGGGGACAGGCTGGTGGGGACACACATTTTTTTGAACCCTCTCGGTGAACCTTGTATGTGCTCTCTGCTCTTGTGTTTTTGTTATTATGAAATATAATTTAAAAGCAAAGTTGGGGCTTATGTTTTTACACACAGATCAGAGAAAGGGGCTCATTATTTTGTGTTAATTTTGTCAGACTAAGCGCTGTCTATTTTTGTCATCTGACATTTCAGGCAGATGATACTATCAAGATTGCAGAAGCTCTTTTATCTGACTTGTCAGGGTTTCGATCGCTCCATCGAAGTGCTGAAGATCTTTCAGATCAATTTAAGCTTTATGAACAAGAACAATTTGATGATTGGTCCAGAGATATTCAGTCAGGCATATCTGATTCCAGATCTGGTTTGTGGTAAGTATAAACATTTAACTAGTGAAATCTACACAGGAATCTTTTTCCTTATGTTTTGAGTCCAAAGGGAAGATGTAATTATTCTTCCAGACTTAATACTTTTTCTAGACTGCTGGTTCTCCTTTTATTTCTGCTGTTGTGTTGGTGACCGTGGTTACTTTCAGATCAATATTTAAGTCATTGAAGTTGGAAACCTTGAGGAGTAGTTGACTGCTTTCCTTTGCTTCTGATGTTTGTTTTCCAGAACCATAGATTCCGTTTCTTAAAATTAGATTTTTTCCCCCCCATGGTTTCTGTTGCTGCTATCCATATACGTTCCCACCTTATTTAAACTGTATTGAACCTAACTTAATTGGTTAATCTAATAGTGCGATCGGGAATTTAAAGTAGGTGGTCCTGGAAAATGATTGTTTCTTTTACCACAGGTTAACTTTCCACAGCATAAGGATATATGGTCTATATCCTTAGAAGCATGCAGTGGCTTTCTTTAAGTAAATTTCTCTGTCATATGAAATCAACTTTATCTGTAGGGCTACAAAGTACATGTTAAGCCAGAGATGGTAACTTCTTAAATGGAATGAATAATTTTATTTTATTTTCTATATGAGAAGACTTCCAAAGGTATGTTGACAACTAGGAAAAATGATGAGGACAATAACATGATGTGAATATAACCAGTGCACAGATGATTGTGTCTAGAAGTTATTGGATGGCAGTGGGTTTTGCTTTGTGTATTTTCTCCAAAAATAAAATATCTTAAAAATGCTTGTGGAGAAATTGAATTAAAAAATAATGGAATTGTCCCTCCAAAAATTTGAAGAACCATCCTATGTGGAATTCTGTTTCTAGAGAAAGAACAGAGGAATCAAAAGGTGCTAAGGCACAGTGAATCTAACATTAATGCCATTTAGCTTTTTTTTTTTTAAGCTTTTAATCATTTTATTGTGAGTGCTTACAGGTATTAAAACATTCCATACTTCAATCACATCAAACAGTATTGTACAATTGCTATCACAATCAGTTTCAAAACATTTTTTTTCTTCTTGAACTTCTTGATAGCAGCTCTCCTTTATCCCCTTCTTCCCCCACCCTAGCCCTCAGGAACCTTTACTTATTTAATTTTTCCCCTTATAATAGGTTCTTCTTTTTTGGGCCATATCTTACACAATCCAGTATACCCATTCACATACAATTCTGTTGTTCAATCTCATTGAGTGGGGTTATACTGCCATCAGTGTTATCAGCTCCCTGTTCCATACCCCTTCTAGCCCCCCCACCCCCTCCTCCCACAACCGGGAACTATTACTTTTGTTACTGTTTTTGAAGGGTAAGACCATTTCGTTTTTCCCTTCTATCTTGAGGATACTTGAAGGATATTCTAGAAAAGAAAGAAACCAAAGAACATTTGCACACTCTTATCAGTGCGGTGAAGGAACCCTGAATATTTACACTCTCTACAATATAGTGAAGGAGCCTCGTGCAGTGGGTTAGGTGTTAGGCTGCTAATTTCAAGGTTGGCAGTTCAAACCCACCAGCTGTTTCAAGGGAGAGAGATGAGACTGTCTGCTTCTATGTAGATTTACAGTCCTGGAAATCCTATATAGCAGTAGTTCTCAACCTTCCTAATGCCGCGACCCTTTAATACAATTCCTCATGTTGTGGTGACCCCCAACCATAAAATTATTTTCGTTGCTACTTCATAACTGTAATTTTGCTACTGTTATGAATCGTCATGTAAATATCTGATATGCAGTGTTACAAATGTTTCAGTGTTTCAGTGTTACAAATGTTTCAGTGTTACATGAACATAAAGCATAGTGATTCATCACAAAAACAATAAGTAATTATATATTGTGAAGTATTTATTTCTAATAGCAGATAATGAAATTTTGTCTTGAAGCTTGGTGTAGCATTGGTAACAGTCTTCACGCTGGGTACTCATATTTGGTACTCATGTGGGTGGACCCACCTGGAGACGCTTAGAGAAGCGGTGTCTCAGTGTCTAAGACCATTGGAAATATGTTTTCCCATTGGTTTTTGAATTTATCACTATGATGTTCAGGTACGTCTTGAAGGGTAGCATGCCAAAAGTCTGAGAACTGCTATAGAGAAAAGTCAGTTTACTTTGTTCAACACAGTGTTTCCCATTTGTTTTTAAAAACTTCTTTTCCCACCTTTTTTTTCCCTTTCCATTTTGGGATTCTAACCCAAACGTGTTCTGCAGAATCAGTGTTCTTTGGAACACATTTTGGGAAATTCTGGAATGTAGATATTAAATCTCTTTCGGGTGAATAAGATTAAGGTAATAGTTTTCACACAGATTTTAGGTTCATATAGGAAAGTTTAGGTTTAAATGATCATTTTAGGCCATTTCAAAATACTTTATATTGTGTGTTAAATAGGCTGAGTAGATCTGTTCTTTGCTTTCATTAACTTTTAAGATCTGCAATTTCTCTTAATTGTGAGTGACTTGATAGAATGCAGATTGTATAAAAGTAATCCTAAAAGAAAGCAGTAAACATCCCATACATACGCATTACCTAGCTCAGCAGTTCCGCAATCCATACTGATTAGCATATACCACATTAAATTTGGCTATTACAACCTTTACATGAAATGCAGAGATAGGACAATACTTAGGTAGTGAAGCAAAGGGTAAAATGATTTAAACATTTGAATGTCTGTACTCCTGTTAGATATTGAAATATTAAAGCCAGCTGATTAAAAAGTTTATAGGTTTAGTATTAAGGTAGCAAAAGGACATTGGGCCTCCACTAAAGTATTCCCTCAATGCAAGAATACTTTCTTCTATTCAATTGGCATTCTATGATGCTCACCTTACCGACACAACTGCTGAAGACGAAGTGGGTGAATAAGCAAATGTGGTGAAGAAAGCTGATGGTGCCCGGCGATCAAAAGATATAGCATGTGGGGTCTTAAAGGCTTGAAGGTAAACCAGTGGCCATCTAGCTCAGAAGCAACAAATCCTACATGGAAGAAGCACATCAGCCTGTGCGATCATGAGGTGTCGAAGGGATCAGGTATCAGGCATCATCAGAACAAAACTTACCATAGTGAATGAGACAGGGAGTGTGGAGTGGAGACCCCAAAGTCCATTTGTAGGCCACTGGACATCCCCTTACAGAAGGGTCTCGGGGAGGAGACGCGCCAGTCAGGATGCGATGTAGCAATGATGAAACATAACTTTCCTTAAGTTCCTAAATGCTTCCTCTCCCCCGCTCCCCTCAACTATCATGATCCCAATTCTACCTTGCAAGTCTCGCTAGACCAGAAGATGTACACTGGTACAGATAGGAACTGGAAACACAGGGAATCTAGGGTAGATGATCCCATCAGGTGTGAGTGGCGATACTGGGATCATAGGGGTGTGGGTTGGAAACGGGGAACTGATTACAAGGATCTACATGTGACCTCCTCCCTGAGGGATGGACAACAGAAAAGTGGGTGAAGGGAGACGTCGGACAGGGCAAGATATGACAAAATAATAATTTATAAATTATCAAGGGTTCACGAGGGATGGGGGGAGTGGGAGGGACAGGAAAAATGAGCTGATGCCAGGGGCTTAAGTGGAGAGGAAATGTTTTGAGAATGAAGAGGGCAATGAATGTACAATTGTGCTTTACACAGTTGATGTATATATGGACTGTGATGAGTTATATGAGCCCCTAATAAAACGATTAAAAAATCTACTAAAATTTATTAAATAGTTTAAAAATCTACTAGAAATATTAAAGCAAGCTGATTAAAAAAATCTAAGGTGCCTTATAAGAAATGAATCAGAAGGTTTTTGCTGTAGGCGAATGTGATGACAATTTTGAGTCTCGATTGAAGGTTAGGATATTGATTTTTCTGCCCTTGAAAATGCCTGGTTGCAATATTGAGGTGATAATGTATTTTGAATATACAGTTTGTTCCCAAGGTAAGAATTGTGAAATACTATTTGACAAAACAAATTTAATGAAAAAATGCAACCTGAAAGCTCTATTTTTTTTTTTTTTCACTTTAAGCCGATCAGATTTTGGTCTTGAAAAGAAGTTGTAAAAAACGCTTCTATTCATCAAAGAGTGAGAACATGAAAGCTGAAAATGTTCATTTTGTTTTGTAGTATTGAGGCCAATAGTCGCATTATGGAATTGGATCCTAATGATGGATCATTAAAAGTGCATTATTCAGATCGTTTGGTTGTTCTTCTGAGAGAAGTCCGTCAACTTTCAGCCCTTGGCTTTGTTATTCCTGCCAAAATACAGCAAGTCGCAAATATTGCACAGAAGTTCTGCAAGCAAGCAATTATTCTTAAACAAGTATGACTTTTAAAAATAATGTGTTTATTTTGAGTTGGTGCCTTTAAAATACACTACTGTAAGGGATTTTGCTCTGTTTTTGATTTTTGAAAGCTAATAGAAGAGCACCACTTACTTAGTCTTGTGAAATTATGGTTCATTAAATGAATGATTACAATTTGCTTTGTAACCTATATAGGAATTTATTTATTTGAGGTATTGTTATTACTGTTTATTATAAAAGCTTTTAGAATAATCATATATTTTTCATTTTCTTTCATACTACTTACTTGAGTCTTAAAAAAGCATCTAATAAAATGATCATCTGCTTGCCTTCTGGGGCAGATTCCTAGCGAGTGATCAGTCTGATGGACGGGTCTGTGTTTCTAGTCATTTCCTCTCTCTCTGTCTCGTCTGCACAATTCCATTGTGTCGTTTCCTCTGCCACGGTGTCCTTGACATGGCTTCTAAGGCTTGTCTTATGTCTTGTTTATCCTTCCTTTGGCTCTCCCTCCCTCTGCTCTTCATATTAAGTCTCCCCCAGGGTTTTGTTAAGATGAAATGGATCTCTTCCTTAAACAGGTCTTCGATTGCGGAAGTGTGTTTTCTTTGGCTGTAGTTCCCAGCACAAAAGTATGCTTTCCTTTAGTTAATTGTTCCTTTTGTGATAACATAGTATCGTGGGAAAAATCACTATTTCAGCACTTTTCATATTGTGTTAGATTCTGTCATTTCTTTACCTGATTATTAGATCTTAGAGGGCAAACCCTTGTACCTTGTGTGTTTTATCTTTAATGTATTCTTTTATTCAGTGAATATATTATCGAGTACTGTCAGCACTAGAGTGTATTAGGATACAAGAATAGAGAAATTATTTTAGAGGCTGTTGTACAGTTTCTCAGATTTAGCAACTATTAATATTTTATACCAGATGATTTTTTTTATGAGGCTACAAGGTGTGAACATTTTAGGATGTTTAGCAGCATATCTGGTCTCTACCCCTCTCGCCCCTACCTAATTGGGTCAATCAAACATGCCTTTAGACTATGCCAAATGTCCCCTGGAAAACAAAATGATCACTGGTTGAGAATGATGGGCTAGAGAAGAAAGCAGACGATACATTGAGTGTTCATGAACTATCAGTCACTCTGGTACATGAGTTTATTTTTAGTGATTTGGTTTAGATCCATTAAACATCAGCCTGAGGATCAGAGACATAGTTTTACCAGTCTTTCATAGCTAGTAAGTTCTGAAGGTGAGGTTTGATAGTAGGTCTCTCTGACTCCTAAGCTGTAATTTTCCTTTAGAGATCATATAGTGATCATAGATCACATATGAAAAAATTGACAAAAAATACTGACTGTAAGTCCTATTTTATAGATGTTCTGAAGATTCTGAAAGCATGAAGGTAGTGCTTTTCTTCTCCTGATTAGGGCTAGAGGTATTATCAGATACATGTCTATGAAAGAATGATGTTTGAGTCCCATCTAGAAGAATATGTGAGGGGTCTTCAAAAAGTTCATGGGAAAATCCCACTCATCTTGTAATTCAGTGTTCCCTCCTGTGTTTGATGTTCTCTCTGTGTGTGTGTGTGTGTGTGTACACGTAAGCACATACTTAGCTAGAGTAGGGAATATATACTAGCTTTGGGATAGCAGTATTGCCAGATTGCTGGAAAAGTATTCACTTCTTTGCTTCTAGCAGTCATAGCAGTGCTTATTGGGTTCCTACTATTGTGGTACAGAGTAAGTAGAGCGTATATTCTTTACTAAATAAGGGATATGCTGCTGTGCATTAGTGGGCAGAAGAGAAGTCCTCTGTATAGCATTACTTAAGAAATATGTTTTAAGCACCTACTTTGTGAAGTTTTAGGGGAAACAAAAAAATAAAAGAACTTCTCTTTTTAAAGGTTTTAGACTCACTAATTTCCCTTCACACCTTATCTTATGTAAGGCAGTTTTGACTTACAAATATACCTAAAGATATTTTTTTGTGTTCTTTAGTTCCCTATAGTAGAATTAGTTTATATTATTTATCAAATTGTTTAAAATTGAGTCCTAAAAAACGTTATTTTCACTAGATATGGTGGTACACTGGTTAAGTACTCACCTACTAACTGAATGGTAAGCAATTCTAATGCAACAGCAACTCTCAGGGAGTAATAAATACATGGTGATCTGCTTCTGAAAGGTTATTGTCTAGAAAATTCTGTTTTGTTCTGTCCCATAGGGTTGCTGTGAATTGGATTTAATGGCACCTAACAATACCACATGACTTGGAAAATTATAGAAATTTAACACTTATTTTTTGATTGCATGTATTAATGCATGAATAGTCATGATATTGGAGGAAAATGTTTTATATTAAAGTTTATGATTGACAAAAATTAAAAATTTTACTGGAACAGTTACAACTTTGAAAAGATGCATGCTGTTTATTTTTAATTGTTGTTAATTGGATTTTTCCTTTTCAGGTGGCGCATTTTTATAACTCTATTGATCAACAGATGATACAAAGCCAGAGACCAATGATGTTGCAATCTGCCTTGGCATTTGAGCAGATAATTAAGGTAAATGGATTTTTTATATTAGTGTAAATAGATTTTACGTGTAAAGTATTTCTTAGTATTTCAACTGAAGACAACAATTAGTGTAGGCTTTTAATTTTGTTCTACAAAGACTTTTTCCCCACTTACCAAGTAACATTTTATGCCACTGTACATTGAGGTGGTCATCATGTTTCACATATTTTTATACTTATTTTTACAAATTAAAAAAAAAATTTTACTGGGGGCTCTTATAGCTCTTATCACAATGCATCCATCCATCCATCGTGTCAAGCTATTTTGACCAATTTTATCAACATGAATGATATTTAATTTGTAAGATATTACATTTGCTGATCCTTTAGGGGTTGTGATCTATCTTGGGAAGACTAGTGTTTTTTCATTATCTTCTAGTTTTAGAATTTAACTTTAAAATCTGCACATGAAATTAGGAATATATAATTTGAATAAATAAATGAATAAATGCCTCTATGGTGTTGCTACGTCTTACAGCCTATAATGCCATTCTTTCTTTTTTTTTCTCTGAATAATATTTTTATTGACATATGTACTCATTTCAATATATCCCTTTCCTTCTCATACAGTTCTGTTGTTCAATCCCATCAGGAGGGGCTATACAATCATCAATGCTATCAACTCCCATTTTCCGATTTCCCCCCACCCTTCTGACTTCTCGTACTCTGAGGGAACCCTTACTCCTGTCAGTATCTCTTAGGGGTCATCTATCTTGACCACCATGTACTGAGAAATCTTAAATGTACAAATGAATATATGCAAGTCTAACATGACCAGTGAGGTATATCACATACAGACTATAATAGTAAGGGGAAGAAATTCTAAGAACTAAAGGATAGTTATGCGGTTCATCAGTGCCACACTGCACCCTGGATTTATCCTCTGTTCCCTGAGGCTTTTCTATGGGGGACTGTCCAATTGTCTTGCTGGTGGACTTTGGGTCTCCTCTACAGCCACTCCCCTTCATGTCAATTTGGATGGGTGTTTTTTTAACTTCTGATACCTCTTCCTGTCGACCCTTCATGATCACACAGGCTGGTGTGTTTCTTCCTTGTGGGCCTTGTTGCATCCCTGCTACATGTCTGCTTGTTTATCTCTAAGCCTTTAAGATCCCAGATGCTATAGCTTTTGATAGCCAGGCACGATTAGCTTTCTTCACATTTGTTTATGCATCCATTTTGTCTACAGCAAGCTTGTCAGGGAGGTGGATATCATACAGTGCAACATCATTAGAATAAACCATTCATGTACAAAGGTAAGATTTCAGGAGAGGCCCAAAGTCCATCTGCTTTCTGGTTACATTTACATATATATACATACATAAATAAACATACCGTATATACTCAAGTATAAGCTGACCCAAAAATCAGCGGAGGCACCTAATTTTACCACAGAAACTGCATAAAAAATGTGCTTAAAAAACTCTGGTTATAAAAAACCAAACAAAACAGCTTATACACGAGTATATACGGTACACATTATGTAATTATATA